TCCATCCATCCATCCGTCCTCGATCGATCGATCGATCGATCGATCTTCCATCCATTCATCCATCCATCCGTTCATCCACGCATCCACCATCATTCATCTTTGATCTGCTGCCTTGTGTCTGCCTTCTTGGGCCATTTATCCTTAATGCATCGTTGGCTCTCTCTCGTAGCCATGGCTATCGGGTTGACCTTCAATTGAAAAATGCCACGGTCCAAGGGCCTGCCCAAGCATTTTGTATGCCCGGGAAGCAGTGAGGCCAGTGAACAGGACGATTCAACTGACTGTGAAACCAGTATCGACTGTAGCCAACCCGATCAGTTGGATCAGTTAAATGAGAAGATGGATCAGCCAGACCGATCCACCATGCAATCATTAAAGCGCCCCAAACACGCGATACAGACTGACGAGCCTGAGTGCAATGGCTTCAAGAATTCGTCGTCATCACCATTGCAACCGAGACTACTCCGTCCTTCTAAACTTCCTCCCAACAGATATTCGGCTGTACAACACCGACCGCCTATATCGCATCCCAATCCTATCAAATCAACGGGCTTTAAGTCGACCGAAAGAAATCGTCCTCTTCCTTCCCCGCAGAACCCCTCAAACCTCGTCGGTACCAACATGCCCCAGACGAATGCAAGCAATAATGGTTGGGGTGGTTTCAATCCAGGCTTCCCGGCCTCCTTTCTCTCAGGACTCGACTTCTCAAGTATGTCGCCTATGCAGGTGGCCGCCGTTCTCACTCAAGCTGCTGCCATGGCAACAGCTGCAGCTCTTGCGGCCTCAGGAAGTGCTCCGCCCCCCATCAATCCCTGGCCGATTTGTCCTCAGCCCTTCTTGCCCCCCATTCCTCCCACTAATCCCTGCTTTCTGATCGCCCCTCTCGGCCTGTCTCGTCCACTCCTAGACCTCTCCACGCCTCCTGGATCCGGCGTTTCGGCGGCGACGACGACATCGACGCCGACACCAGGTGGACCGGCCACTCCACGAATTGGCCAATCACATGCCAGCTCCTCTGCTTTTTCATCATTGCCCTCCACCTCCTCGGCCGTCTTGTCGGTGTCTGGGCGTTCTAGCCCTTCGCCTTTGTCTCAGGTCAACTCTCCCGCCTACATCCGATTGCCCCCAGTTACTATTCCCGTAACTCCCTCCATTCGTGGTCCCATCGCCTCCACGTCGAGCTGCAGCACCCCGATCCACGGCATCCCCAAACGCCACATCAGCTCCTCGGCCAGAGGGTGTTCGGCTCTGGCCAGTCTCGCGGACAGAAGGAGGACGGCAAATTTTAACGGAAAGCTTGAGGCATCAAGAGTGAACAAGTTGCCCTTGTCCAGTCCCGGCGGTGTCTTGGCGGCCCCGAAACACTCCCCAACCGGGTCTACAGGCTCTTCTGCCGAGGCGAACAGTCCAGCCAAACTGGTCCTGCCAAGCGGCGTCTGCCTGACGGAAAGGCCATACAGGGAGCCTGTTCGCGAGAGGGACCGAGAGACAATCAACTGTCCGGTCTGTGCAAAATTGATGCGACGTGGTTCGTTGCGCGAGCACATGGACAGGCATCAGAACAGCGGCCGTTTCGACTGTGAGATTTGCGGTAAAAATTTCAGCCGTCAGAGCGCTAAAGAGAAGCACATTCGTACGCACACAGGCGAGCGGCCGTTTGTCTGTAAATTCTGCGATAAAGCCTATCGTCAAAAGGTCCACCTGAATGAACACTTGCGTTCGCACACCGGCGAACGGCCTTACGTCTGCCGACTGTGCGGTTTTTCACTGGCCTCTAAGTCCCTGTTGAATAGACATCTGAGGACTCACGGCGTCGTGGTCAACGCCAACGAGGCGCCTGAGATGTGGTTGAAGACGGACGCACCGACGCGTGACGTACTGGCGGCTGCCGCTGAGGTCGGCCGCTCCCTCGGCTTCGAAAAGACTGCCAGACCAACTGGCACGGATGACCCGACCTCGGAAACCGGAGGCCCGGCGAACGGCGAGGCCGCCGACCAGCCGGCTTCCAAAAGTCTGACTGGTGCTCCAGCCGCCTTCGGACAGGCTGAGTTGGACCACCAGCATCAGCACCTGAACCACCACAACCACCATAACAACCTCCAACAGCAGTCACAACAACAACAAATTGAGGCGCTGCCAAGCGGCGTGCCTCGGCTAACCGCACTCAAGGGTTCTGCTGAGATGGCGGCTCTTGGTCGGAAATACCTCTGCTCGCATTGTCCCGCGGGTTTCCCGACGATGCAGGCCCTCCGCAGTCACCGGGCGACGACACACGGCGTTGTCACGCCTCACCGTTGCTCCTCCTGCAACGAGTCTTTCAGCTCTGTTAAGACTCTCAAGATACACCTTCGAAAGGCCCATCCACAGGTGAGTCTGCCAAAGCTGGTTATATGCAGTGTCCAACGGTCATGGCATGGATTGCCTTCAACTAATCTCCTCGGTTCCGCTATGGATATGCTGTGTTGATGCCCCCTACATTGCAGAGGCAATCAGGCCTTATCCCAAAGGTTACTAACGCTTCGATAATTTGCTTTCCTTATCACCCGAAGCCTATTCTCGGGACATGTAGTTGCGCCCTGTCGTTCAAGCTATGCCTCCCCCCAGGCACATTTGTCTCTGAAGCCGAAATCCCTCATTACTTCGCCTCGAGACGGCATATTTCAGGCATCGACAGGCGTTAGCCCGACAAAATCTCTGCTTTCATCTACAACTGCCACCAGTTGTTGGGCTATCCTATTTGTTCTGTTTCTCCACCAGACTTGAAAAGCTACTCATCCCCTTCTCTGTAGTGTGATTAGATCCTCTGGAAATCCTATTTATGCTGGCGCCTGACTATTGAATATTGACAAGGTGCCATTAGCTGGGAGGCTAGACTGACACGCAAGGGGCCAACCCGTTCTTCCTTCATTAGCAAAATATGCGCACAATATACTCCCCTTTAGATAGATAAACTTCGTGCTCTCCTCCCCTATTTACAACTTTCTTCACTATAGATGGTGAGTAGACAGACATGGATCAATAATACATACAATCGCTGGTGGATCTTAGATCAGTTTATAAGGCCATAAAGAGTGACTTTCTTTCAAGGCCTTTGAATATAATCTCCTTTTCGAACTACCCTGAAGTACATTTATTAACATAAATGTTTCAAGTTTTTATTATCCATATTTACAGCTAAGGATCATTCGATTTCTGCAGTCTTTTCGGCAACATTTGTGAGGTCTAAATGGATAAATGCCTTCTGTCATCAAAATTATGCCCCTACTTTGTCTTCCACCATGCTAACCTTATTTACAGTATGCATCTAAAAAGTCTGGACATACATGAGCTAGTTTAGTGTTGCCCTTGCCTTCCAGATATCTAAAATCTGGGTCATCTCTCTGACTTTATTCAGCTGACTTAAACCGTTCGTCTTAAGTTGAGGTCGACGTTTTTCATTTCCCTTTCGCTGAAACTCTTGTACGTTTTTAAATACACCCATAGACAACCGTGTGGCAAGTTTTGTTCCGCTAGGCTTCTTTTACCTTTAAGGGGGCAGCATTGAGCACAATTTTATGTACACTGTCAGTGGTTGTATGCATACTCCTATTAGTCGTACTCCTCTCTAGCGAGAAAAACTTACTGAATATCGTTTATTCATCACAATTAATACTTGAGCCTCATTGCACAGTTGTTATTAGTGTTGTAGGAGTCTTGCAGATTTGACTTAATTTAATCTTTTCTGATGTACCCTGAAGTGGTCATCGCACGCTGATCATCATTCTACTCCTATACCCAATGGTATAAGCGCGACTCCCAAGAGTGAAAATAAGGCTTAACCTAATAGCTGGAACCTTGTAAATTTTCGGGATCACATAGTGTAGTGCTGCCCATATTTGCCCCTGTCCGTTTTCAGTTCTGCCATGAGATTAGATATTACATATCCGATCTGCCCATTCATTTGCTTCGCGGCGCCTCTTTGCTACTATGGCGGAAAATCTTGCAATTGATTCCTAGCCTTTATTATTTTGCTTTGGACTTGGCGACTGCTGCGTCCGTGCTCTCATTCCCACCCATGAGAGGTCGAGAGATGCGATTGTGCTACTACTTTTTATGGGCTAAGGTATGATTTTGCTACCGATTTCTAAGCAGACTGTTGCTCCTACACTACCTATCAGACATTCTAATTAAGTTGAATCAAATTTATTTAATTTATTATATTTTAGTATTTGTACTTTTTATAATGGCATTTCAGAAGGTTCTACACTCGACACTTATTTGTGGATTTAGAGATATTATACACGCGACTGGAAGTTGTAAATATTTGTTTTTGTGTATGATATTTTTCTAGGGTGCACTCGCTTTCGCTGACGAAATATTTAATCGCAATATGTCTATGATTGGTACATCCATGGTTAACAGCAAGATGCAGAACTTGCTAAATGGCAGCTGTTCTACGCGTTAAATAGTTTTTGATTATTTTTAAGCTTCATACTCCTTTTATATACTTTATTTCTATTTGCCCACTCGAGAAAAAAATCATTTTCACTTGATCGTTGCCGAAGGCTCTATACCTCGTTGGTATTATGGCATC